ATGGATTAACTCAAATGGTCCCGTCTTCCTTTCAATCAGTTTAAAAGGAATTTTCGTTTGTTTTGCCTTAACACAAATCTCACATTTGTGCTTATCATTAATTTGAAATGTATGAATATGGTCCAAGTTAATTAATCTATGTATAGAATTCAAATTAACATGACCCAGTTTATCATGCCACAAACACGAAGACTAAAGTAAGTAGGTTGAATAAATAAAGTTTTCATTAATCACAGTTATTACATCGAGCTTCAAAAGCCCATCTAGTACATAACCCTTGCCTACATACATTCCTAATTTCGACAAAACAACATTTTCTGACTCAATTAAACACTATTTGGAAGCTATTCTTGTTCAACAATGAACCAGAAACTAAGTTTTTCCATAGCTCCGGTACGTATAAGATATTGTTCAGAATCAGCTTTTTCCCAAAGGTCATCCTGAGAACCACTTGCTCATGCCTTCCACAACAGACTAAGCAGAGTTCTCCATCCATAACTTCTCACTATTAGTCGTCTCGAAGGTAGTAAACAACTCACGGATGGAACACATATGTCGGATCGCACCCGTATCAATGAACCATTCTGTTTGGTTCGAACCAACCAGGTTTACCTCGGTCACCATTGCTGAGAGGATATTTCAGACTCATTCTGATTGACCTGCACCACGTTAGAATCAGAATTATTATTCTTCTTCTTAGGTACTTTACAATCAGCCCACTTGTGACGCATAATGCCACAATAGAAGCATTTTCCGTGGAATTGCTTCTCATAATTCGTGAAATCCTTTCTGCCTAAAGGCAACAAATGGATAATAGGTTCCATTTGAAAGGTGTAAGTGAAAAATAATATGTTGGAAAAATAGCATTAAAATGGCATAAAATGACATATTAAGTGGTTATTTTGTGGTACAATTATCAGTGGGGTCCACTTCCGATTTGGGTCAGGTCAAAGTGGATTCGGGTTCTTCATAGTGAGACGAAGAGATTGATATATTGTACGCTCAAAACGGATAATGGGTGAATGAGATATTGATTCTCAAAGTAGACCCATTGAGTTGGAAAAATGTAAGGGAAAAGTGAGCTTTGTCCCACATTGATTTGGAAAGAGGATTTCACCCCCCTTTTATACAAGAGCTCTTTTGGAGCTTGTAGAATTGTATAGCATAGAGGCTCTCTCGCGCGGGGGGGGGGGGGGGGGTGCAAATCAAATTCCAACTAGAAACGAGATCGAACAGGCTTGATTCAAGCCCGAGCTCGTGTGTGGGGGCACGAATGTCGTCCGGAAATTGGCTGGCCTTGCGGGCTAAGTTATGCCAATTTCTGTACAGTTTTCGAACACTATATGGCCACACCACGAGAGATCACCCGAGATCAAGTGATCTCTCGTGCGCTGTCATGAGGTCACACGAGAGTCTCGTGTGCACTGAAGCACGAACTTTCGTGCATCCCGAAAGTAACTGAGCTGAAACAGCGCGGACCATTCGTTGGTTCTGGACTGTTACAGGATTAATCTTGTATTAATTCCATCTTTTGAATTTTGAGTTAAATCTCAATAATGGTGGCTGTTTCAGGTGTTACAAATCGTGGATTAAATGCTAAACTAAATGTTATTGATTCCTCACCTCTCTCGTGCGCTGTCATGAGGTCACACGAGAGTCTCGTGTGCACTGAAGCACGAACTTTCGTGCATCCCGAAAGTAACTGAGCTGAAACAGCGCGGACCATTCGTTGGTTCTGGACTGTTACAGGATTAATCTTGTATTAATTCCATCTTTTGAATTTTGAGTTAAATCTCAATAATGGTGGCTGTTTCAGGTGTTACAAATCGTGGATTAAATGCTAAACTAAATGTTATTGATTCCTCACCTCCTATATAAGAAGGGGTGTAGCAGCAGTGTTTCGACACAGACTGAAAACAACACACACAACACTGAAATTCCATTTTCCCAGCTCCAAAACCTCTGCTCCTACTCCCTTCTTGTAGCTGTGTTCGTCCCATGCTCTAGTTCGCCGGGTTCGCTCGTTTGGGTGCTCAAACGTCGAACCGTTGTACGTTTTATCCTGGGAAACCTAGGCCACAACGCTCCTAGCACTTTTGGGAGGTGGCAAATAAGGTTTTAAGGAAAGAAAGGCACCTTGCCTAACTCGTACATTTCTTTCTTCCTTCTCCTTCTTTCTTGTTTTGGATTATGCTTTTAAGCAAAAATCCGTTCTTTCTTGTTAATTTGGAATTATAATCTAAGGATTATATTTTCTTTTGGTTGATATATATTGGTATATCTTTTTCGTAGATATACATTTATATATAACTGTTGGGTCCGTCTTATATATATTTGTGTGTGTATATATATATTTCGGATATATATATCCAATAATATTTTATATATATTTCGTGTGTATATATATAAATATTATTTTACGGATATTAAATCGATTGTGGTTCATTATCACCAACATAATATATGTTGTATAGAATATTTATTGGCATCATATTTGTCAAATTATTTTTTAGAATTATTTTTTAGTTTAAGTTAGTATTTATTTTATTGCTCTACATTAATAGATACATCATATTAATTATGCCAGAGGTCTAAGAATCAGAATTAACACTTCCAAAATGGTACTTCGAAGAGTAATTCGATCAATATCCATGAATGGTGGTTCAAGCGGTACCCATGAAACGGTGCCTGAAGGTTACGAGTGGCCAACCATTTGGTTAAACCGAATGGTTAAGTCAACCAAGAAGTCAATTACTCAACTGAATGGTAAACACAGTTTTACCTCTCGAACAGTGGCTCTGAGTTGAAAAAAAATATATGAAAGTTTGGCATACGAGGCCGGGCGTACACGAGTCAAGCCTATTCAGGCTCATTTTGAGATTTGATTTCCACCTCATGCGCGCGAGAGAGAGCCTCTATGCTATATAATTCAACATGCCTTTAAAAGGTGTTTGTATATAGGTGCAAACCCACTTCTCAAACCAATGTGGGAGTGCTTTTACAAAGCCTTTCCACCTTCATTTTCCAACTCATATGAGTCTACTTTGAGAATCAATTTCACCTATTATCCGTTTTGAGTGTACAATATATCAATCTCTTCATCTTACTGAGAAGTACCTGAATCCACTTTGACCCGACCCAAATAAGAGGAGTAGACCCCACATATATTTGTACCACAAAAATACCCACTTACTATGCCATTTTATGCTAAAATTCAAACACACAACATATGCTTAATTAATATGCACACATCATAACTCTTCATATGCACACGTGCATTTTTAATTTTGCCAATTAATCACATCCATAGATCTATCTTTTTTAATGTACCAGATTAGTTCTCATGTTCTTAGTAGGGGAATGGTTCTCATAACCTTAGTACCTCTAAAGTTTAACTTTTAGTGAAAGCAACCTACTGACATTTTCAATATAAATCGGTCAAGTATGGATAATTTAGATAATAAAATGTTTTATACATTGAATTATTTTATTTGTGGTACTTAATTTTTTGATAAAATAATAAATACAATTATATCAATGTATAATTATATGTTTTTAAAGTATACAATGTAGATAATGTGTAGTGACAAAATTTTTAGGAGCAAAACACATTAACCTGCTTTTCAAATGAACATTTTTGTGTTTGAATTTTCAAGCTTTAATTAAGGAATGGGTGACTGACAAATGACAAATGACTATGGTGTGAAAACTTTGCCTCAAACAATTCATCAATACCTTACTAAAAGGGCCCCAAGAACGTGAGGGCATAGTAACTACTAGCAGAGTTCTCCATCCATACCTTCTCACTATTAGTAGTCTCGAAGGTAGTAAACAACTCACGGTTGGAACACATATGTCGGGTCGCACTCGTATCAATGAACCATTCTGTTTGGTTCGAACCAATCAGGTTTACCTCGGTCATCATTGCTGAGAAAAGATTTCGGACTCATTCTGATTGACCTGCACCATGTTAGAATCAGAATTATTATTCTTCTTCTTAGGTGCTTTACAATCAGCCCACTTGTGACGCATAATGCCACAATAGAAGCATTTTCCGTGGAATTGCTTCTCATAATTCGTGAAGTCCTTTCTGCCTAAAGGCAACAAATGGATACTAGATTCCATTTGAAAGGTGTAAGTGAAAAATAATATATGTTGTGTAGAATATTTTTTGGCATCATATTTGTCAAATTACTTTTTAGTTTAAGTTAGTATTTATTTTATTGCTCTACATTAATAGATACATCATATTAATTATGCCTGAGGTCTAAGAATCAGAATTAACACTTCTAGAACGGTACTCCGAAGAGTAGTTCGACCAATACCCATGAATGGTGGTTCAAGCGGTACCCATGAAACATTGCCTGAAGGTTACGAGTGGCCAACCATTTGGTCAAACCGAATGGTCAACTCAACCGAGAAGTCAATTACTCAACCGAATGGTAAACACAATTTTACCTCTCGAACAGTGGCTCTGAGTTGAAAAAAATACGAAAATTTATCATAACTTAGCATGCGAGGCCGGGCGTACACGAGTCAAGCCTATTCAGGCTCATTTTGAGATTTGATTTGCACCTGACCTCATACGCGCAAGAGAGAGTTTCTATACTATACAATTCAGGTGCTTGTATATAGGTGCAAACTCACTTCCCAAACCAATGTAGGACAAGTACTTTTACAAAGCCTTTCCACCTTCATTTTCCAACTCATATGAGTCTACTTTGCGAATCATTTTCTCATTCCCTTATATTCTTTTAAAGTATACAATGTAGATAATGTGTAGTGACAAAAAATTTAGGAGCAAAACCCATTAACCTGCTTTTCAAATGAACATTTTTGTGTTTGAATTTTCAAGCTTTAATTAAGGAATGGGTGACTGACAAATGACAAATGACTATGGTGTGAAAACTTTGCCTCAAACAATTCATCAATACCTTACTAAAAGGGCCCCAAGAACGTGAGGGCATAGTAACTACTTGCAGAAGTACTGTAGCGAGAGCCACTCTCTCTCTCTCTATATGGGGAAGCCATAAGCTCTTCCATGGAGCTTGGAACCCAAAAATCTTAGTCCCAGTGTCCCACCATCTATTTCATTGAGCTGTGTTTGGGGTAGGCTAGCTTATCTTCCTAAACTACCTTGTAATTTCTGGTACCACAATACTCTCTCTCTATCTCTTACTATGATTTGGCAGCTTTCCGAGTTTTTTTTAATATTTTATTTTATTTTTAGTAACTGGACCACTTTTTCACTGCCTAGCTATAATGTGTGTGTTTCCTTGTATAGCTGCCTTGCCTCCACTAAGGAAGCACATATTTAACCTGTCAACTTTTGCTTCTTTTTGAGTGCTTCTTGATTGAAATTTATTACTTCTACTACTAGTTTTTGCTCTCTTTTGAACCCTCCCATATTCTTTCTTGAAATTTTTCTTTCTATTCTATTCTGGGTTCTTAAGAAGATTGGTAAATTTCACTACTTTGAAAACTTTTGATCTCAAAAGATTCATATTGAATGGGCTTAGCATAATAGCATGTGTTTTTTTAGTCAAATTGAGGTTTGTGGTGTAGAAAATTAAGCATTTTTGGTGAATAGAAGAAGAGTTGAGAGGGAACTTGAATTGGGTTTTTTTGGTTGAGGGTTTGTAAAAAAAAGATGGGGTCTTGGAGCTATTTGTCTGGGGGTGGGGGTGGGGGTGGGGGTGGGGGTAAGGGTTTAGTGTGTGATGAATCTGTTTCTATGAGTGATCATGGAGTTGCAAGAAGTAGAAATAATGGGTTGATGGGTTGGGAATTGAGTGGGTTTGAAGGCATTGGGAATCAAGGATTTGTGGAATTGGGTTCTCAAGATTTGGTGAGAAAAGCTGCCATGGCTAATAACAATTCCAGAGGTTTTGCAGGTTTTCACAATGTGTTCTCTAGGGAAGATGATTCTTCTCCTAATTCCAGAGATTCATCTCTCATTGACTTGAAACTTGGGGGATTTCCTGATCATATCAAACCCCCCAAGCCCAACAACACCTCTTCTTCTTCTTCAGCTCAGTCATCTGCCCCAGCCAAGAGATTTAGGGGGGGTGGGGGAGGAACCAATTCCCACCAGACCCCCCCATATTGCCAGGTTCAAGGCTGCAAGAAAGATCTCACCTCTTGTAAGGACTACCACAAGAGGCATAAAGTGTGTGAGGTTCATTCCAAGACTGCTAAGGTCATTGTGAATGGTATCGAGCAACGCTTTTGCCAGCAATGTAGCAGGTCACTCACTTAATTTCTACTCCTTTCCTTATTAATTTCTGTTAGCGGAGATCGGTAAAAGGCCAAGTCTAACACCAGTTGCTGGGATTGTTGGGCGGAGGCCAGTAAAGGGCTTAAAAGGCCAAGTCCAGCACCATCGTCTCGAAAATGTATGGCGGTATAAGAAAATAAAGTTGTATTTTCGCTACTAGTTATAACTTTTGGTGCTAGAATGGGGGAATTGTTGGGTGGAGGCCTATAAACGGAAAGTGTAGCACCCAATGGTTGGGGATTGTTGGGCGGTGACTGGCCAAGTCCAGCATCCAACATCTCGAAAATGTGTGGTTGTATAAGGAAATAAAGTTGCTCCTCCGCTACTAGCTATAGTTTTTGGTGCTGGGAGGGGAATTATTGGGTGAAGGCCAGTAAAAGGCCAAGTCTAGCACCCAGTGGCTGGGAATTGTTGGGCGGAGACTGGTAAAGAGTTTAAAAGGCAAGTCCAGCACCCACCGTCTCGAAAATGTTTGGCAGTATAAGTAAAGCCTTCACTGCTAGTTATAGCTTTTGGTGCTGGAGGGAAATTGTTGGGCGGAGGCCGGTAAAAGGCCAAGTCTAGCATAGCATCCAGTGTCTCGAAAATGTGTGACGGTATAAGGAAATACAGTCTTGATCCTAACACTTTGATAGACTCTTTCATAGCCAATTAGGCTGCACTGCCTTAAGAATACAAGAACTAATTTCCAGATTAACTATATAGGGGTAATCTTGAGTCTTATATGCTAAGTTGACATGTGCATTTGGTGTTGTAGGTTCCATTTACTGGCTGAATTTGATGATGGCAAACGCAGCTGTCGTAAACGCTTAGCTGGTCACAACGAGCGTCGAAGGAAGCCTCATACCGGTATGCATTCTGCCAGAACAGGGAGGCTTTTCCAGTCATATGCTGGTAAAAAACATATGGTCTTTTGATCTTAGATCTCATAATTACTGTATGTTATATCTTACCATTCAAATAAGGTAACCAAGATTTTGTTCTCCTAAACTGATATGACCATAGTGTGAAATTTAGCAGTTCTTGGATTTTAGCAGGTGAACTGTAGTTTTGAAGATCTGTATAAACAATTTTTAGCTCTGAAAAACAAAACATTTGCAGCTACTAGGTTTCAAGGGACAGCTTTTTCGACATCGTCTTTTGTTTGTCAAGATATACTGCCCGGAAGCCTTCTGCATCCGCAGAAATACGAGACGAATGATTGGTATAGGAATGTGAAAGTTGAGGAAGGGACGGATTTTTGCCCTCAACTAGCAATTCCTTTAACAAATGGTTCATATAACTCGGAGAAACATTGTCCTCATGAGAGTAGTAATTCGTATCTACACGAAATGGCGGGGCAAGATTTCGTTCCACGGGCTGTCTATCATCATAGCACGACGTTGGGTAGTGAAGTTCTGAGCTGTTCTATTCAGGGCCTGTCTGGGATATCGAATTCTGGGCGTGCTCTCTCTCTTCTGTCATCCCACTCGCAGACTTCCGGGGCTCATTCCCTTATCAATCCGGGGACTAATGAACATTATGATATGGCACAAGTATCTGAGAAGTTGTTGGGGGTTAGTCCACCTGCCTCAACAACCGCTTTGTCTCCATCTGAGGATGCTCGCTTGCAACAGATGATGCTGTTTTCTAACGCTGCTCAGACGTATGCAATCAACCCGATTGTTCAAGGATCGGGATATGTGAATGTGAAGAACCAAATTTCTGGCGAAGAACAACATGGCCCTACTATCGATTTGCTTCAGCTCTCATCACAGCTTCAAAGAGTGGAGCACGAAAGGCACTCGGTGCAAGTGAAGCAAGAAAGTGGCGCTTTCTCTGGCCTTAGAATCACCTGACTGGTAATATAAATCTTATCTTCTTCATCTGTTAATAACATAATCTGCTAACTCCATATATACATTGCCCTTCACTGTTTAAGTGTTCCTCTTCCTGCCTTTCCAGCTAGCTAGCTATCGATCTGAGAATCTATCGAGGAAGCACAAAGAAGCCAGGAAACGTTTGTGGTGTTGATTCTTTTCGTTTACTTTTTTCGTGTGCTGCTGACAATGCAACTACTGTTCTTTCAAACTTCTTCTTCTGCTTTCATATGCAAATCATTTGGTTTTCTCTGATGCTTAATTGATGCAATAATAATCATGACTTTTTGTTGAATCCCATGTTAAGTTGTATATGAATTCATTCTCTCCCTCTTCCCCTTGTTGCTTTACTATCAAAAAAGCAAAAATAAGAATCTTGTTTCAGTATCAGAATATATGTTGAAACCCTTTATGTTAATTGTGTATATATTGTCTAAGAGGAATGGAATTGAACCAGGAATCACCTTTCTAAAGCCACGACCAAGTTATGCCCTTAGATTATAAATCTTTGGTGTATATTTTGTTGTTCTTTAACTCAAACAAAACTACAAATTCAACCATCAATATTTCTCAAAACCTCCATGCTATAAATCTATCTCAGGATCTTACATCTAAAAAAGTCAGGGAGCATGTTTTCCCTTTTCGGGAAACCATTCTCCTCATTATGGTTCAACCAATACTCCAATAGTATAGATTTTTCTTTTAATTTTTTTTTTTTTAACTTTTACAGAAATTAGCCTTCTATACCTAAATATAACCTTAAATAAATTTATTAAATAAATGTATTTATCATGCTGGGCCAATCTGTCGTTATAGTATAGTAGTGGGTATTCTCACTATTCACCCGGGTTTGATTCTCGGTAACTTTGATTTGATTATCGAAAATTTTTATTTTTTTTGTAATATTTAGTTTAGTGTTTGATGGTTTTATTGGACTAGACCTACCATGAATTGGTAATCTGGAATATTTTAAGTAATGAGTAAAAGAATTAAATAATAAGACATTGTAGTATAAGGGCAAATTATGCCCTGGACCCGTGTCCACAGTGAATTGTGGACACGGGCCCAAAACGACGTCGTTTTTCAAAAAAAACGCGTCATTTAGTTATTAAAAAAAAAAAAAAAAAATTACGCACGTTTTGCCGTTAACAGTGTTATTTTTTTTGGATTATGGATGTACAGTTATGTAATTATAAAATTATGAACACAGAGCTCTAACATTATGAACTTACAATTATGAACATATATAGTGATAAAATTATGACCATGAAGCTTTAAAATTGTGAATATAGAGCTTTGAGGATTATGAATGTACAGTTATGGAGTTATGAATCTACAGTTATGGAGTTATGAATCTACAGTTATGAGATTATGAATCTACAGTTATGGAATTATGAATGTACAGTTATTGATCGAATTATGAACAAAGAGCTCTAACATTATGAACTTACAATTATGAACATATAATGATAAAATTATGAACATAGAGCTCTAAAATTGTGAACATAGAGCTTCGAAAATTATGAATGTACAATTATAGAGTTATGAATGTACAGTTATGGGGTTATGAATGTACAGTTATGGAGTTATGAATGTACAGTTATAGAGTTATGAACGTACAGTTATGGAGTTATGAATGTACAGTTATTAATAATATAGTAATAAAATTATAAACATATACTCCTATAACGAAGCGGTCTGAAATTTAAAAAAAAAAAAAAAAAAAAAAAAAAAAAAGAGAGATAACAGTGCCTAACGGCACTGTTACCCGTGTCCAGCAAGCATGCATTGGACCTTGCTGGACACGTGTCCAACGCATAACCCCTTTCGGTCCATAATAAAATATGGTCTCAAAGTTCAAGCCCAAGATACAAGCCTAGGCCCAACAATGGGCCTATTATAAGACTCAATTAGAAATGGTTTTGGCTTGAAGCAAAAACCTAGGATAAAATGATTGAATGGCTAGTGAATTTGATCAATTAATCGTTATACCCTACACCACGGCGCGCGTAGCATTGTGCGCCGCGCGTCTCCCAAAATGACGTTGTTTTGGGGTCGTTTTGGGAGGTGCGGTAGGAAGTTGCTGTGATTATGTATATTTATTCACACAATTATGTATATTTGTTCATACACTTATTTATATTTATTCATACAGTTATGTACATTTTTTATACAATTATGTACATTCTTTTTATACAATTATGTACATCCGAATCAGAAAATTTGTGCGTATTATGTTAAGAGTTGATGTGTATTATGTTAAAAGTTTATGTTTATTATGTATTATGTTAGATTATGTGTATTATCTTTTAAAAATAGTATGTATATTTTGTTATATAATTATGTACATTCATGTATACAATTATGTGTATTCTAGTATAACATTATGTACATTTTTGAACATGGGTTTTTTTAAAAGAAAAATTAACTGCCATACACTGGGACGGGAAATTCCAAAAATAAAAAAATAAAAAAATAAAACGACGTCGTTTTGTATTTGGACGGACAGTGCAACACGCGCCGTGGTGTAGGATATAAATTGCGGAATTTGATGATGCTTAAAAGCTTGAAAGGGCCCCTTATTTATAGTGTTCAAGGCCTCGGGCTTCTCTCAAAACAAATGGGCACCATTTCCTTGTCCTTCTTTACGATAGCCTACCACACGCCCCAACCCTTTCTCGTGACCAGTCACGATTGTTGGCCACGTCCATGGGCTAGTGGCTACATCCGACCGCAAGCTGGTTGCACCTAGAGCCACCACAGCCCTGACTGGTTATGTCATAGCCAACGATGGGTTAGCGGGCTAGTTGCTCAGACTCCCGACCGCTCCTATTTTGCACCCAATCCCTCTCCCTTTCTGCTAATAACGCAGCCACTAAGGCTCGAACTTACAACCTTCCAAATAAAAGTCCAACCCGAATACCATTGAACCACATAGTCCTGGTAATCCCTTTCCCTTTCTACTTCCTCATACTTCTACATATACCCTAATAATTTCCCAACAATTTCTACTAGCCCAATTCTCCTACCCCAACCCAATAGGCCTATACCTCGAGCCCCATCATAAGTTCCCCACTTCTAGTTGTTTGAACAACTAGATGAAGTAGTAAACACTAACACGACTATATTGCATCACGTTCTCTACATCCAACACTAACACGACTATATTGCATCACGTTCTCTACATCCACTCTTCTGTGCCTGAACTTTCTCTATTGTTCTGCAATTATTCTCACCCTCTACTCTTGGCCTGATAGGCTCTAACCACTCTCTAATCCCTGAAAACTCCAACCCAAAATCTTTAAATATCTTTACTTAAATGTTTTGACATTTCGATTGTTAATGAAAATTGATGAAGATTTAACTAGTCTAAGATTAAAATTTTAATATTTAAATATCTTTACTTAAATGTTTTGAATTACAGTTTGATTATTATTATTATTATTATTATTATTATTATTATTATTATTTAAAAAAAAAAATTACTAATTAGATTAAAGCTTGATCATCCCCTGTCCCTAAAAACTCATTGTGGGGACAGGAATGGGAAAAATTTCATATCCCCAACAACAACAACAATAATGTCATTTCTATCCTCATTTTTAATAGCTCAAACATTTATTTAATGAAGAGGGAAAGAAATAGCCACTTTAAAAACAATTGAGGGGATAAAGTGGTTACATAAGCTACACAGGGAGAAAATGTGCTATAAGTAAACAATTCAGGGGAAAAAAGTGTCATTTCCCTTATTTTAATTGAATTAATTATTATATGTTTTATTTTAAAGATTTACAACGTTACCTTAAAAAACTTCTGTTAATCGATTAACCGATTGATTAACCAAAAAAAATTCGATTCGGTTAACCGATTGTACATCCCTAGCCCCGAGCCCCATCAATCTTAATGCATAAAATTTACATATTAAAAATTCCATAAATATACTACTCCGTATTACCCCCCCACACACACACAAACAAAACAAAAACAAAACAAAACCCAAAAAAAAAAAAAAAAAAAAACGTTAAATTTAAAAATTACTCGCCCATACAATTTATTTGTTCTAATTTCATTTTTAGTTTAACCCAAAATGTTACGGAGTATTTACTTTGTTAATTTAAACACCACTAATAATTTCTTTAATCTTTAATCCTTAACTTTCTATGTGTGCCTCAATTCACACCTTTAAAAAATAGACAAAAGTAGAAAAGATATCACATCTTATGTATTTTAATTTCTTAAAAACGTGTAAAATACAAATAACCCTAACAAAATATGACTAACAAAATAAGTATACAAAACTTTAATGAAATAAACAAATAAAGAGGACTTGATTTATTCAATAAATAGTACTCCATATATATATA